AGCTCTTACTGTATTTGTGTTATTTCTATCAGATCACAAGTGTTTAGAAAAATTCTGATTTCACACAATTGGACAGCTGATCTGTTTGATTCACCCAGTTGCCTTTAAATGTGAACGTTTACTGCAGTTGTTTTGTTTTGTTGGTGAGACATATGTCTCCAACCGGAGTTTTGTAGAACAGAGACAGTAATGATACAGTTGATGTTGATTTATCATTTGGGAACCCAAATAGTTACGGATCAGTAAGTAATTTATAGATTATCTGATAGTAAGTAAAATAAAATACTTCCATATTTACTGGAACCTTTAAACCGGTTTGTGGATGTTTCATGTGTTTCTCATGATGTTATAAAAGGTATAAACCATGATGCCACTGGTGTGTTTCTGTTACAGGCGTCTTAGAAGTCTGCGATGATGATTGTATTATTTGACCCCACAGACACTCAACATTTGAGCCAGAACAGCCTGATATTGCTGTTTGACAGAACGTCTGACTGCACCAAATAGTTTTAAAAAAAGCTCTGTCCTGAGGCATTTATTAGTTTCTGACTCTGATGGGGGGGAACTGTTCCCAAAAACTGTGTCTCTGAACTCTCACACATGTCGGCTCTTCTATGTGATCTCCTTTTGAATCTAATGCAAAAAGTAATGCAGTATTGTTTCACACTTTGAAAACCCCTGATGTGACTGAACCCCTCATCTCTTCTGAAGCAATGCACTCTAGGCTACTTCTGCCTGCATGCTGGACTCTACTCCATATAAAAGTGTATATAGTTTACTTTTGAATACTTTATCGCTTTGTTTTACATTTAAATGTTTTTAATGAGCCTATGTCTGAAAATTGTGTTTACAGGAGCTGTAACACAGCAGTGGTATTTTACCTTTTTTGTGGGGGGGGGGAGGAAGATCTCAAATTTATTGTATAAAGAATGCATTTCATGTGTATGTTATAGATTAAATGAAATGCAGTATTCCTGAGTTTATAGAATACAGAACTTTTCATGTAATGTTACAAAGCTTTCTTTAACATAGGAAGGTGTAACGTAAACAAAAATAAATGTATACTGCACAACTTCACAACAACAACAATTCATGATCACTTATATTTCATACAAGACTCAAATGTAGGCTCATATTTATTTAAACACACATGTAAAACAAACGCAGCAATAAAGTATTCAAAAGCAAACAGAAAGGTTTCAGTGGGTCGGCAGAAGTAATGTAGTTTAGGGAGGCTTAGAGTTCAGCAACAACTCTTACGGGAGGAGAGATGAGGAGGAGGTGCTGCTGAGAATGACACCCTCTTATAAGATTTAACGTATTGACCTGCATTAAAAAGTAGAACAGCTATCAGGGAGGTGATGATGGTACGACGATGTTTCCCCTGATGTCCATTGGATGGCATACGTCTCGCTGATCTACATTCAGAAACTGAGAAATCCAACTTTTCCACTTTTTCCTAAACATTCCTGCTGACGTTTGTTTCTGTGTGAGGACCAGTTCCAGAAAATTCAGGAATAACAGACATATAAACAAACAAACTGATCTTTCAATAAAATGTAAAAATGACTAGATTTTAAGACTGTAAAGTTTCTAAAGGATTAATTCAGAGGTTGATTCATAGTTCAACTAACACACCCTGCTGTTCTAAAGTGTCGTGCACAACCAACAATACACACACTTTAAAATTAAATGTTATTATTTTGGCAATAGTATAAAATGAATGTCGCTTTGTGTTGTAAAGTGGTGAAGACATAAGGGCGAGTTTCTAAGAGTTTCTTTCTATAAGTTTCACATTGCTGTGCTTCAATAAATTAGATGGAGAATTGTCGCGGTTGAAAGGTTTTTGCTTTCTAAGCTCTATCTATCCAACAATGTCTGTAAAACTCACCTGTGAGACCGTCGGGCTTTGTCAAGAGAGAGGCGACCGATTACTGCATCGACTTCTGTAATTGTTCTTTTATTAATTCAATTCAATTCAATTCAATTTTATTTATATAGCGCCAAATCACAACAACAGTTATCTCACAGCGCTTTTCATAAAAGAGCAGGTCTAGACCGTACTCTCTGATGCTATTTACAGAAGCCCAACAGTTCCCACCAAGAGCAGCACTAGGAGACAGAGGCAAGGAAAAACTTCCTTTAAGAGGCAGAAACCTCGAGCAGAACCATGGCTCAGGGTGGGCGGCCATCTGCCTCGACCGGTTGGGGTGAGAGAGAGAGAGAGAGAGAGAGAGAGAGAGAGAGAGAGAGGCAGCCTACACAATATACACACAGAGGTACAGACAGTGAAGGTAATGTTGCTATAAACTAAATGAAAAATGGTACAGATATTTATAATAGTGTTAATGGTAACCATCGTAATGTTAATGATTATAATAACAATAATAACAATAATAGTAGCAACAATAGTTGTTGCAGCAGAGGGTGTCGAGCAGGAACACGGGGGCAGCAGGTGACCCGCAACCACAGATCCAGACTCCACAGCTCCAGAGCCAGAAAACCTGCAGGAAGTGATAGGAGGAGAGAGGAGAGGACGAGAAAGCACAAGACTACCAGAAAGGGGAGAAGTTGTGTTAGTAACATGCAATAATGGGATGAGGTTGCATACAGAGGGAGAGAAAGTAGAGGAGAGAGGAGCTCAGTGCATCATGGGAAATCCCCCGGCAGTCTAGGCCTATAGCAGCATAACTAAGGGATGGTTCAGGACTCACCTGAGCCAGCCCTAACTATAAGCTTTATCAAAGAGGAAAGTCTTAAGCCTACTCTTAAATGTGGAGATGGTGTCTGCCTCCTGAACCCAAACTGGAACCTGGTTCCACAGGAGAGGAGCTTGATAGCTGAACGCTCTGGCTCCTAGTCTACTTTTGGAGACTCTAGGAACCACAAGTAACCCTGCATTCTGGGAGCGCAGTGCTCTGGTGGGGTAGTAAGGTACTATGAGCTCTTGTAGGTAAGAAGAATGATTTTAAATTCTATTCTGGATTTTACTAGAAGCCAATGCAAAGAAGCTAAAACAGGAGAAAAGTGATCTCTTTTCCTGGTTCCTGTCAGAACAGGTGCTGCAGCATTCTGGATCAGCTGAAGAGTCTTAATGGACTTTTTCGAGCAGCCTGATAATAAGGAATTGCAGTAATCCAGCCTAGAAGTAACAAATGCATGGACTAGTTTTTCTGCATCATTTTAGACAGGATGTTCCTGATTTTCGCAATATTACGTAGGTGAAAAAAGGCGGTCCTTGAAATTTGCTTAATGTGAGACTTAAACGACATGTCCTGATCAAAGATAACTCCAAGATTCCTCACAGTGGTGCTGGAGGCCAGGGCGATGCCATCAGGGAAACTATATCTTTAGATAATGCGTCACGGAGGTGCTTAGGCCCCAGAGCAATAACTTCAGTTTTATCTGAGTTTAACATGAGAAAATTACAGGTCATCCAGGTTTTAACATCCTGAAGGCACATTTGAAGTTTAGCTAACTGATGAGTTTCATCTGGCTTGATCGATAGATATAACTGAGTATCATCTGCATAACAATGAAAGCTTATGGAATGTTTCCTGATAATATTGCCTAAAGGAAGCATATATAAAGTGAAGAGGATTGGTCCAAGGACAGATCCTTGAGGAACTCCATGAGTAACTTTGGCGTGCATGGAGGACTCATCGTTAACATGTACAAACTGAAATCGATCTGATAAATAGGACTTAAACCAGCTTAAGCGGTTCCTTTAATGCCAATGAAATATTCCAGTCTCTGTAATAGGATCTGATGGTCAATGGTATCAAATGCAGCACTAAGATCTAATAAAACCAGTACAGAGACAAGTCCTTTGTCTGATGCAATAAGGAGGTCGTTAGTAATTTTCACCAGTGCTGTCTCTGTGCTATGATGAGCTCTAAATCCTGACTGAAAATCCTCAAATAAACTATTGCTCTGTAGAAAGTCACACAGCTGTTTAGCAACTGCTTTCTCCAGAACCTTAGAGAGAAATGGAAGGTTAGATATAGGTCTATAGTTGGCTAAAACATCCGGATCAAGTTTGGGCTTTTTCAGAAGAGGTTTAATTACAGCGACTTTAAAGTACTGTGGTACATAGCCTGTTGATAAAGATAGATTGATCATATCTAGTATAGAAGTGCTGACTAAGGGTAAAACATCTTTAAGCAGCCTAGTCGGGATGGGGTCTAAGAGGCAGGTTGATGGTTTAGATGAAGAAATTATTGAAGTTAGTTGGTAAAGATTGAGGGAAAACAGTCTAAACATGTATCTGGTTCTACAGCTGTTTCTAAGGTTCCTGAGTTAAGAGATAAGTCGGTGCCAGTTGAGGGCAGGTCTTGGTGAATTTTGTCTCTAATAGCTAGAATTTTATCATTAAAGAAGCTCATGAAGTCGTAACTACTGAGAGCTATGGGAATCCTTGGCTCAATAGAGCTGCGACTCTCTGTCAGCCTGGCTACAGTGCTGAAAAGAAACCTGGGGTTGTTCCTATTTTCCTCTATTAATGACGAGTAGTACGCTGCTCTGGCATTACGGAGGGCCTTCCTATAAGTTTTAAGACTATCTTGCCAAATTAAACGAATTTTCCACTTTGGTGGAACGCCAATTCCTCTCAAGTTTCAGTGATATTTGCTTTAATTTGCGAGTTTCAGTATTATACCATGGAGCTAACCGTCTTTGTTTTAGTATTTTCTTTTTTATTACATGTTTGTTTGAGGCTATCCTAAAATCTAAAGCTGGCTGTAGAATTTCAGGATTTCTGAGATAATATAATAATATATTAATATTTTCACAACTATCAAGGATCTAATTTTTTTGTTGTTGTCTTCACAGAAATATGCTGAATTTCTGGGTATTTCCACCATTGTTCATTTTAAACAGAGATATGGGCCAGTACATAAAAGGTTGGTCACTTTTATTTTGGAAATCAGCACAGATGCGTGGTACCGGAAGTAATTGTACTTCCTGTGCTAACTCTTTCTGTTACGTACGTAGCGGTTCTGTGGATTACAGTAAGATGCAGCCAGAGTTCAGCAGCAGAGCCTGCATGTGAGGATAAACGTGTTTAAGTGGACTCTGTTTAAACTTTCGGGATGTTTCACCTCAGACTCATCTCCTGTTAGCCAAGAATGCTAAAGGAAGTTAGCTTGTCAGCAGGAAGTAGCCGGAGCCGGAGCTCGGCCTCACAGTGTGTATTTTATCAGAGTGAGCTGCGTGTCTGTAACGGAGTGTGTCTGGAGGAAAAGCTGCTGTAAACATGTCTAAAGTCCAAACGCTGAGAGCTTTTGTCCAGCAGCGACTAAGTGCGGCTGCTGAAGAGATATTTGAGCTGTTTGAAAGAACGATAGCAGAGTACGAGGAGGAACTTTGTGGACAACGCAAACTACTGGACGCTGTTTTCAAGCCTGAAGTCCGGTTACACAGAGCAGGTTTGTGCACTTTACTGCTTATTCTCGCTTAAAGGGGCATCATGTGGTTTCCAGCGGCCACTAGCGGTGCGGTTTTAAGATTCCAACCAGGTGTGTGCTCGCTTGAACTCATGCGCGAGCACAACCGGAAACACAACCGCTTTCACGCAGAAATGCCACAATAAAGGCAGAAACGCCGGCATAGCAGGCTGTGGCTTTTCTCACAGACATGTTCAGTGTTCCCGGTGTTCTGACAATATATGCTGCCCTGTAGAGAAATGCTACCTTATGTCTTCCCATTTCCATAAAGTTATAACTCACGGTCAAATATATTATACTAACATTTCAACGGCAGCGTATTCTGATATTTTAGACAAATTATTCTGACCTGACTAATATCCCTTATGAAATAATGCACCGACTACAGAATCATGTACGGAGATGGGGAGCATGTTGAAAAACTATATTATGCCATCTTTATTTAAGACAAACAGGAGTAGCTTACTCTGTTAGACTAATAATGATTTTATTTTATTTTTTGATATTGCTGACGATCAGCCGATGTCTCGACGGCATGCCCAGCAGCAAGGTTGCACAGATTTATGGGCGTGGAAACAAATCACGCTTGTGGGTCATACACATGCGTAGAACCGCTAAGTAGCACATCTCTATAGGTAGCATAAATCGACAGAACACCGGCGGGACAACAAATGTTTGACATGCTGCAGCAGATCATTAAATGTTAAACAATATGATTATTGACAAGTTAGTACTTAGCATTAACAAATTAGGGACCAATGTAACTGTTAAATTTATGCTCTTTATTTAATAGGTTATGTTAGGTTAACTTTATTGTCCCCAGGGGGAAATTCTGCTTGGGCACAGGGCAGTGTAGAAGAACACAAGACAGAACACCTCGACACCACCATCACAAGAGGAAAATATAAACACAGAAGAAAAAGCACATTGTTGACAACATAGTTCCATGGATTAAAATGCTAGTGTGGTTGTTGCACATTGCTCCATTGAACTTAAGTTTGTATAAAGTACATATGTTAAGGTGCTAGTATGTTTGTTGCATGTTGCCCTATCGCATCGAGATCGTGCAGCCCTACTCCGTACCTTTCATTCAGCGCAGCGAGCTGCATGTTGGCTCAATACTCCTGGGGAAAAAAAGGCAGCGTGACAGCAGCTATAGACAGACGGGGAGAACAGAACTAGTTGGAAACTCGGATAAACTCCCACTGCAACGTTACTGTAGTATTTTTATGAGCTGCGGGTTGAAGTAATCCATGCTCGCTACATGGTAACTTTAAATTTACTGCGTTTAGCTGACGTGATACTTCGGCTCAGTCCCATTTCACCCCTTGGCCCTACCCCTCTGTTTTGCGCGTTCACGTCTAGGGATAGGGTGTCCTGGTTCTTGTTGCGATAGAAGGGTAGGGCGAAGGGGGACGGACACATTTCCCCCGAAACACGAGTCAAACTCCAAACAGAGGGCTACGAGAGTTTCCAGATTACAGATGTTTTTTTAGTATAATTTATTATAACCATGGTTATTCTTAGTTTAATGTAATTTCAACGTAATATGGTGATAATGGTGAAAAAAATCACTAATCACCGCTAGCATGTTGTCTCGTTATCTAGCTTTGCTAGTGGTGTTTGCTACCTGGTAATGAAGCTGTGTTTTTAATTTTTTTTGGTGACTTGTTAGATCGCTTGATGTGCGATATGACGTTACCATACGAGAGAGATTACCACAGCGGAGGACGGCATATTGGAGTGTTTTCAATCGTTGTCATGGATAAATCCTGTAAAAACTTGCCACTTCTGTTAATGTCAGAGCCACCGTCAACTACTGATAACGTATCTGGTTCATGAAGGGTTGTTCCATTTTGTAGGGGAATATTTAAACCCCTTGGCCCTTCTAACTCTGTTTCAAGGGCCAAGAGATGCACTCAGAAACAAGGGCTAGGGGCAAAGGTGAGCCTCAGCCATTAGCTCACCTGCTGCTTTCAGTAACTATCTTTACTATCTGTGTATCTTTTACCGGAGGCTCAGCAATGTCAGCACAGCTACATGTACTGGATGATAACGAATCCGTTAGTGAGCTGGACTGAATATTGAAGATTGTTTTGAGACTTTATAAAAGTTAGACCGCAGGAAGTAACTTTACTGTAGTGGATGGCTCTTCCTCTGGATTGCAGTTGCTGTTTTTTGAGAGGGGTCCAACTGCAGACCTCCACTGTCAGGCCGGTCAGTTTTTTACGTCCCCACCGGACGTAACGTGATGCATTCTCGGTTGTTTCGCTACACATCGCGACTGGTTAGCATTATCCAAAACATTGAGTAAAGTCTGAATGCATTGCTCTTGGTGTATGTTTGCCATCGCTACCACTGTCAATATTGTACATCTAAATCACACAAATTACTGAATGTTACACGTGTGTAAATTAGGTTATTTTTAGTTCCACATAGGTAATGTTAGGCTACACCAACGCTGGCTAGCGTTAGCTCCTGAAGTAGCAGGATTAGCTTTTTTCTCCTTTGGAAAACATGAGCTACTCAGACTGTATGAAGCTACTGTGTATTTGTCTTTTGCAAAGCATTTTGAAAGGGTATAGGTTTGCATTTGTCTTAACATGTTGACATCGCTCAGGTTAGTTATTTGTCCAAAAGAAGATAAAATAAAGATCTATATTGTTTAGACCGTTCGGTGTAGCTTTTCACACTTAACATTAGACTTTGCTGGCTGGATGTATTGATCTTAGTTGAATTGAAGTTTATGTACTACAATAGTGTTTCGTACCCTTTCCTTAAGAAAGTTTCCCCCCTGTCCTGCATGATTTAATCTCTCCCTGCTTCAACACAGCTGATTGAAGCAGCTTCAGGATTCATAACGAGTTGATAGTTTGAATCAGCTGTTTTGGAGCAGTGAGATATTTAACACACAGGGTTATTTTAACAGTTATATACATAAAGACACTCCTCACACAGCCACTGTTGGCATATCCTAATTTGCGTGATTTAGATGTACAAATATTGATAGTGATAGATATTTTGATTATATTTTTAAAAATATTTTGGATCATCAGTCACTGCTGCCAACTCCTTTTCTAACTGCGTAATATGTGTGTGTACAGTGAATAAAGTAAAAGTATTATTACAGTAGGCTATTGTCTCCACTCATCTTTAAAAAGTGGATATTTACAAAATTATCGATACAGCTATACATGTTGTATTGCATGTGTGTTCATTTTTACGGATTGTGCAGTTTGGTAGTCCACATAGTCCAGCAGGGTTCTAGTTACTGTCTGAGCTCTTAATCCTGCATCTGTGGGGGTCAGTAATTCATTTACCAACCATAACAACCATTATTTTTAATCACATCACATCATCTGAATCTCTTTTGGTCTGACTGGCTTCATCACATAAACCTTTATTGTTGTTTTTATTTATTTACATGGAGTTTATGTCGGAGTCTGTGTTTTATGGTGTTAGTGGACTGCATGTTGTTAGCTGCGGTGTTGTTGCTGTAGTACGAGAGAAAACAGGTGTGTGCTTCATTTCTAAGTGAGTTTTGAGCCCATTGACAAGAAGGCAATGAAAATTCAATTATTAATAAGTAATTTTTTTTTTAAAAACTTCATATAGCATCTTTAAGCCTACTTTACTGCAGTAAAAGTACTAATACTAGTACTAATACATTCTGTGAAAATACTCCCCTTAAAGTTCTGGATTAATATTCCTAATGGATGAATTTGGATGTTTAAGGTCATTTTAACTATGCGCCCTCTGCTTTATATCTGCATCTTCAAAAGCCTTTGAATTTACATACGCAGTGCTACAAAAAGATGATGTTAAATGAAACCAAAAAATGTTATCAATCAATCAAAATTTATTTATAGAGCATGTGAGCAAGTTTTATATTTATAGGCATGTATCAGCTCAGAGATTTAGGGTGGGGCAAGGTCATTAAGACACTTTAAATGCAAATAAAATAATCTTAAAATGGATCCTATGCTGTACAGCCAGTGGAGTGAGGCTAAAATGGGGGAAATGTGCTCGTATTTACGCGTTCCAGTTAAAAGACGAGCTGCAGCATTCTGTGCCATCTGGAGGCGAGCAATAGAGGACCCACTGACACCCACGTACAGTGCATAACAGTAATCCAACAGAGTGGTAACAAAAGGCGTGGATTACTGTTTCAAAGTGCGGCCTAGAGAGAAATGGCTTTATTTTGGCCTATTGCCTCAATTGAAAAAAGCTTGTTTTTACGACCTTGTCCTTATCTGTCTGTCGAGCTTACGGTCAGAGTCGATTTTAACCCCAAGGTTAGTGATCGTTGATTTGATGTAGTGACTCAAGGAACCTAGATTGACACAGTAGTGCCACCAAAAAAAAAAATCACTTCTGTCTAGCTTTCATTCAGACTTTAAAAGTTTAGAGCCATCCAAGCCTTTATGTCTTCAAGACACTTAAGTAACGGTCCAACGGTTTCATTCTTTTTAAGAGGCATATAGATCTGAGTATCGTCTGCGTAACAGTGGAATGACATACCATGCTTCCTAAGTATGGAACCAAGCGGGAGCAAATAATGAGAGAAAAGAAGAGGGCCTAATATTGAGCCCTGTGGGACCCCACACGAGAGAGGAGCAGAGGAGGACACAGACTCTACACAGCTGATACAGAAACTTCTACCTTCAAAGTAGGACCTGAACCATTTGAGTGCAATGCCCTTGATGCCCACCCACCGCTCCAAACTGAGAGATCAGGATTTCATGGTCCACTGTGTCAAAGGCAGCAGTCACATTAAGAAGCACAAGAATAACACAATCCCCTGAGTCAGTAGCTAAAAGGATATCATTAAAAAAAATATAATACATATATGGTTTGTTCTTTGATTATTTTCTTTCAAAACCAAATCAGATAAACCAAAAAAATAAGCCGTATTGAGTTTTTTCTGTTTTAAAACCAAAATGGAAAAATATTGATTTTGATATTTAATGTGTCGAACTAGTGTAGCAGTAAAAATTTAGAAAGTTCTACGGTGCAGAGAGCCTCCAGCTGCAAGAACACATGGACTGTGTTAAATCAGGAGCTCAGACTTCATCCAGCCAGAGGGCACGACCACTGACCGTCCAGTATGCCGGTTCCCCTGGCAACACAACCCATAGTAGGGCTAACGGAGGGGGAGTGGGGGGCTGGAGTGTACAGAGCGAGGGAGAGGAGGCCTGGCCGTAGCCTCGAGAAAAAACTTGATGAACATATTCGGGTATTTTTTTTATATCTCTCAGGTAACCAGCTGCTTCAGATCATCCCAAAACAAAATGCTTCCTGGATGCTGACGTACTTAAGCTAGAAACTGGAGAATGTTGAGTGTTTGAGTGGCTCCTAGGCAAAGCAATGCGCCACAACAAAGTTGTTTTTGCTCTAGTGAGTTTGAACCCAGCTTGACACGATCTTATAAAACAAGTAGCCTACATGTCCTTTAATTTCTTTTTTCATATGTGGCTGTAACTGAAGCTAAAGGGCTTCCCCCACTGCGTAGTATTACGCTATAGGGATCCCCAGTGTGTTACAAACTGACGAAGATAGGCCTTGACCATGCGTCCATATGTGACGAGTCAGGGGAGTGAGAACGGGTTGTAGGAATATAACACCGGTCAAAGATAGAACAAAGCTCTTGAAACCTCATCTCTTCTGAGAACAAATTCCTCTTATAACACCTCTAACTCCTAACCTCTAACATGCACTTCCTGTGCTCTTCTTCTTCTATCCCCTACAATGATCTTGTATTGATTGCACTTTTTGTTAACTCTTACTTCCTTCCCTCGGTATCTACCCCATTGATGTGATATGTACTGTGAGCTCTTACTAGTATTTAGTGTCAGTTGGAGATCTGTAGTTGATGCTTGTATGTTGTTCCTCAAATGTAAGTCGCTTTGGATAAAAGCGTCTGCCAAATGAGTAAATGTAAAATGCAGCTCCTTTGTTTTTTCCGATTCGGTTTTCAAATGAAATAATCAAAGAACGAACCATATACGGATTCCATATCCATATCACATTTATTGTTTTGTTTTTCTTTTTTACCGTGTTATTGAATTGGGTATTGAGAAAAGTGGAATTTCGCTGGTATTGATATTGACTACTATATTTCTGGCAACATGACATCATTCTTTTTTACATGTTTAGGAAAGTAGTGGGGTCAGTGGTTTGAATGTTTTAATGTTTTGTTTTCCAAAACTTATATGTATTTCATTATTCTCCGCAGATGTCCAGCTGCTGTTGGTGAGTAAAGAAAAGGTTCCCCCTGAGCAGCAGGAGTGGAGACCCAGTCTGGACCAGGAGGACCCACCAGAGCCCCCAAATACTAAAGAGGAGAGGAGTCCCAGTCTGGACCAGGAGGACCCACCAGAGCCCCCACACATTAAAGAGGAACAGGAGGAACTCTGGACCAGTCAGGAGGGAGAGCAGCTTCGAGGGATGGAAGAGGCTGATACCACCAAGTTCACATTCACTCCTGTCCCGGTGAAGAGTGAAGAAGACAATGAAGAGAAACCTCAGTCCTCACAGCTTCATCAAAGACTCACTGGAAATATGGAAACAGAAGCTGATGGAGAGGACTGTGGAGGACCAGAACCATCCAGGAACTTGGATCCAGAGAGACATTTACAACCAGATACTGAGGATGTGACATCAGAGACCAGGGAACCTCAGTCAGGTTTAAATCCTTTGCAAAACAACAGTGGATGTATCACTGGTGAGAAACCTTTCAGCTGCTCAGAGTGTGATAAACGATTCCAGTATAACTCAAGTCTGAGACAACACATGAAAATCCACACAGGAAAGAAACCCTTCAGTTGTTCTGTCTGTGGTAAAAGATTTGCACAAAGGTCAACGTTGACCGAACACTTCAGAGTTCATACTGGAGAAAAACCTTTCACATGCTCAGTTTGTAAAAGAAGTTTCAGTCTCAGAAGCAATTTGTCTGTACATATGAGAATTCACACAGGAGAGAAACCATTTAGTTGTTCAGTTTGTGGTAAAGTTTTTGCACGAGGCTCACAGTTGACCTCCCACTTTAGAGTTCATACAGGAGAAAAAACTTTCAGCTGCTCTGTTTGTAAAAGAAGCTTCGGTACCAGCAGCAATTTGTCCAGACACATGAGAATTCACACAGGAGAGAAACCATTTAGTTGTTCAGTTTGTGGTAAAGTATTTGCGCGAGGCTCACAGTTGACCTCCCACTTGAGAGTTCATACAGGAGAAAAGAGCAAGACCTGGCTCAACACTGATCAGTTCAGAACTGTGACACAGAGTCCAAAATAAGTCGAGCTTCATCTTTTCAGCGAAGATGAAGCGACATAATTGAATTCTGTTTGTCACATTATTTGGTCATTTTCCTTGTGCATTTTGGTATTGCTTATATTTGTTGATTTAAAACTGTCCGAAAGTATTTTAAGTCACCTGTACATCACAGTGGTCAATGTGTTTGTTGTTACTGGACTCCAAGACTGAAGCAATGCACTAGGCTACTTCTGCCTGCATACTTGATTCTACTCCATATAAAAGCGTATGTAGTTTAAAGAGGTGGTATTCTGCTCCTTTTCAGGTTCAAAATCTTATTTAGGGGTTGTACTAGAACAGGTTTACATGGTTATGTTTTTGTCATACTGCACATTGCTGCAGCTCCTCTTTCACCCAGTTTAATACCTGATATTCAACTATTTCACAAATAGAACCATTTTATGATATTAGCCTTCACCGCTGTGTTGAGGTTTGTGTATTCATTGTAATTTCCGATCATAGTACAGGCTACTAAAGCTTACCATTAGTAGCCTATAATATTAATACCTGTTGGACAAAACAGCCATTTCATTTTTGTGGGTTGTTTTCAGTTATTAAATTATTGTGTAAGAAAAATGCTCTACGTGGTGATTAGTCTGTCATTTGTTTATGCAAATGCTAACTTCACAATAATAATAATAATAAACTGTGCATACAGAACAACAAGTACAACATTTCTAAAGTTTGCTGTAGCGCCTCAACCTTTTTTTGTCCCGCCTACTTCAGGCTGTGATTGGTCGGTTCACGAAAAGTGACTTTGACGAGCAATTAACGCACACGGCCGCATGAAAGGCTCCAGGTCTCCATGCGGAGATTAGCGGGCAGGAGGAAATTGCTTCATTGATCAATAATTGGCAATAATACCGCATACCTCGCTGTAAGCCCCAACAAATTACCGCAGGGGAAATTACTGTGACAGCCCTAAGAGTAGTGAGTTATTCATTTATAAGAAATGTATCGTTCATATGTAACGTTTTAACTGTGCGCTGTAGAATAACGACATGAGATTAAGATCCAAATACATATTTTTTTCTACCAGGGCAGTAAACACTGGACCTTTAAGTTAGTACTTGCTACATTCACATATTGCTATATTTTACACATGCAGCTGGCGCTGGTTTTATTAGCCAGCTGCTGCGTTGGTTTGACTGCGCCTGAACGGTTCGCTACGAAGCAGGCGCTAATGGGAGAGATGACTTCTTGTGAAGTAGTATCGAAATTTCTCAAGTAGAACGAGTACTGCATTCAATCCTTTTTACTTGTAAGCTTCAGCATCGACTGCGGTCTCAGATGTTCGTCATTGTTAAAAGTTTCTTGCCACAAGCTTGGCTTTCTGTTTGTTTTGCCTTCTGATATCCTTCAACACTACTCTGTCACTTGGCACTGATTGATCACTGCCCACCATCCTATCAATTCAACGCTTTTGTGGCGCAGCAGCATATCAGCTGATTTTCTTCACAGAGCCTCCGGCTGCCTATAATCAGATGTAATCGGTGTGATCGGCTGGAACTGCAGTCTTTCTTTTCCTTTGCTTGCCTGAGTGTGTTGTGTAGTTTAGTGATTTGTTTAAGCTGACTCCTTACTTGTTTCTACTTTATTGGAAGAAGTTTGCGACTCACCCCTAAAGGAAAAAGCTTTTGCAGAGCTCTTTCAATTCAGTTTTTCAAGATTTATTGATCCAAAGTTAACACAATTGTTCTCTGTGGTTGACTTTCAACGAATGTATCAAAACCTTATACTCCTGGTGTGGATGATGTGATTAGAATGAGGAGCGATCTGATACAAGTTTGCAGTTACAGTTATTTCAAACAATAAATAGAAAAGACAGTAGATCACCTTGATTGTCCATTATGATGATGATGATAATAATAAAAAAACAATCAACTATTATGGCTTCAGTAGGTGGCATTTTATGCGAAGTTGAAGTACTCTGTTGGTATCGGTATCACTGTAAGGGTATTTGTTTCGGTAGGCCAACTGGTATCGTAAATCTTTAAATGACATCCAGCCCTATTGTGAGTTAAGTTTCCAATGAGGTCCCCAATCCCCCAAAGTCACTCCCCTCCAACTTGCAATGTTTTTATCCAGGTTTGTTAAAGACGTTTTGGTTTAACAAATGGTCAGAAATAACAAGAAAATGCATAGGTTTTGGTCATAGGGTAACTTGTTGCCTTTACTGTAACATGTTGAGTCAGAGGATGTGAACTACGATCTAATGAGACAAGTACAGAGATTCCTTAGATTGATGCATTTAGGTCATTAGTAATTTTCACCAGTGCTGTCTCTGTGCTATGATGCACTAAATCCTGACTAAAATCATCTAATAAACTATTGTTATGTAGAAAGTCACACAACTGATTGGTAACTGCTTTTTTAAGGATCTAAACCTCTTTTGCACCAGCCCTGTTTTCAAGCGGTCGTGATGTCCAAGATAACCAAAAAACTGAAAAGGCAAACTCATCAATTGGCAATGTGAAAGGAGTAAAACGCTTATTGGTAATGGACACATACATTGGTCGTCCTGGAAGTTGGTGTCCTGGTTGGAGCTGTTGTAAATCACCTTGGTACTGTATTCCCTATTGTCAAACTGCCGTCCATCGGTCTGTGAGACTGTTTTTCCCAGTGACTAACTGGCCAACGAATTGTCTTTGCCTGACTGATGTCTTAGTTCAGTGTTAGAAGGCAGTCTGAAGTCTACGCAAGTAGTGGTGTCAGTGGTTTATATGTTACCAGGATGTTACAGTTTTTTAAATATGAGTATGCATTTCATTATTCTCCACAGATGTCCAGCTGCTGTTGGCAAGTAAAGCAGCAGTTCCTCCTGAGCAGCAGGCGTGGAGCCCCAGTCTGGACCAGGAGGACCCACCAGAGCCCCCACACATTAAAGAGGAACAGGAGGAACTCTGGACGAGTCAGGAGGGAGAGCAGCCTCAAGGGCTGGAGAATGCTGATATCACCAAGTTCACATTCACTTCTGTCCCTGTGAAGAGTGAAGAAGACGATGAAGAGAAACCTCAGTCCTCACAGCTTCATCAAAGACTAACTGAACAGATGGAAGCAGAAGCTGATGGAGAGGACTGTGGAGGACCAGAACCATCCAGGAACTTGGATCCAGATAGACATTTACGACCAGATAGTTCAGACTCCTCTGAACCTGAGACTGATGATAGTTTTGATTGGGAGGAGATCAGGAAATCTCAATCGGGTTCAAACCCTCTGCAAAACAATGAAGTACCTGTAAGTGATGTGGAATGTAATACTGGAAAAACATCACGCAGATCCTCTAAATGTTCTACAAGCTTTGGCAACAAGAACATCTGCAGGAACACAATGAACTCGAAACAGCAGAGAATCCATTTAGTTGCTCAGATTGTGGTAAAAGATTCCTCTGGGAGAGCTCCTTAATGGATCATATGAGACTTCATACAGAACGAAAACGTTTCAGCTGCTCAGTGTGTAAAAAAAAGTTTCAGTTTAAAGAATATCTTGTGAGGCACATGAAAATCCACACAGAGGAGAAACCATTTAGTTGTTCAGTTTGTAAAAAAACTTTTAAATATAAATCTACAGCTGTGGATCATATGAGACTCCATACAGGAGAGAAACCTTACAGTTGTTCTGTCTGTGGTAGGAGATTCGCACAAAGCTCAGGTTTGAGCTCACATTTAAAACGACACACAGGAAAAAAACCTTTCAGCTGCTCAGTTTGTCAAAAAAGTTTCTATCAAAAAACCTGTTTTTCCCGACACATGAGAAATCACACAGGTCATACACAAGAAAAACCTTTCAGCTGCTCCATTTGTAAAAAAAGTTTCCGTGTAAGAAGCACTTTGTCCACGCACGTGAGATACCACACAGGGGAGAAACGCTTCAGTTGTTCTGTCTGTGGCAAAACATTTGTCCAAAGGGCAGATTTGGGCAAACACTTGAGAGTTCATACAGGAGAAAAACCTTTCAGCTGCTCAGTTTGTAAAAAAAGTTTCAGTCAAAGAAGCAGTTTGAAAACACACATGAGAGTCCACACGGGGCAGAAACAATTCAGGTGTTCGTTTTGTGTTAAAACATTTACAGCAAAGGAATCTCTGAAACAACACAAGTGTGCTGGTGAGAGCAGTGGAAGGAAATGAAGCTGCAGAGATGCTCGTTGAGCAGATTCCTTCCAGCAGGACTGAAGTACTGAGGGCAAGACTTGGCTCAACACTGATCAGGATCATTATTTGGTGGTTTTCCGGGTGTCACCTGTTCATCACTATGACTTGAGACAAACTTTGATTTCACACAGCTGGACAGCTGATGTCTTTGATTTAGCCACGTTGTGTGACACAGATTCTGAACATTGAATTTCTTTTCTTGTATGAAGAATTAATATTTTCTCTTTGTGTCATGAAATAAGCTGTGATGGAGTCTCTCCCAAACATCCTTTCTTCACATTCTTCTGGTTAATAAAACCCACTGGGACTCAGAAATGACTAATGGAAAGGAAGTGACAAGTGTCCAAATTCTCAACAGACCAGATACTCTCATATCCCAGGAGATGGAAGTCACAGCACATGACTCTGAACTCAGGAACAAAGGACAGAGAACAAATTTTTAAATGTACATTAAAATATGTTATGTGTTTCTGACCTTTATAAAATGTTTTGAGTTGAAATGCTGATTTGGATGCAGAGGAAATAAACCCTGAACTATCAACATTCTTGCTTCTTTATCCTTGTTTATATGAAGAAATGAAGTGTGGATGTCTTCAAAGTATGACTCCAAACTGCTTTTCAGCAGCATGTTAAATAATTTGGGACATGTAGGTCCTGGTGTTCAACTCCAAAGACATGTTTCAAGGATTTTTCTAAACAGATTTTTTAGTGTGCTTAGGCTCTTTGGATAGCTAAAAACGTGAAACTATCTACACAATGAATGAATGAATCATTGCTTGTAATCAGAAGAAATATAAATAAAATTCTAAATCTCATATCCCTTCAGAATGGTTGTGGATCTGCTGGTAGATTTACGTAGGTCTAAATTAGGATCTCCCATTAACATAGGTACAGGGCTCCAGGCTAACCTTTCCACTGGTAGCCCTGTTGCGACCAACTGAGAAAATTGGTTGTGCCCTTTTTTTTTTTTTGGTACACTTATTGATAAATGACCGCTGGTAAGAGGTGAGGGGGGCTCAGTGTTTTGGGTGATTCATCAGTCCCTGCATGTTTTGTGTTTCTTACGCCAGGAATCCACTGACTCCGGCTACGGCACGTTACAGCTGCCTCACTGGAAGCGTTTCAGCAGCGTGCAGCCTGCTTCACGATTTTGACTTGTTATTAATTTGTCCTTTTGTGCTTTACTACCTTCTTCACAGCTCTCTGTGACCCCGTTTCGTTCCATCAACTTCAGGCTGCATTTCCCACATGGAGCATTTCAAAATCTGAGCATTTTGCTGACGTGTTTAAATTTTCTCCACATGGTGTTTTATTTTGAAAGTTGACCAGATTCTCTATGCTGTTCTGTGTCTGACTTCCTGCCTGGTTTGGTCTGTTCTGTGTTGCTTGACGTGGCTTGCATAAAAAATAGACCTGCTACCTGAGGCCGTGAACTGCATTGGCCACATTGCCTACAATAAAAACACAGCAGAGCATTCCCCTCGTACTGTAAGCACCTGATCCCCATCCCGGCGCTGGCTGAATCTACATCTGTCCACTGCGGAGGCTCTATCCACAACCTTGAGGAGTAAATGGTATAAATGCGGAAGCAAGTGTACTTCCGGTGGCTAACATGCTAACTTTTCCTTTCGTTACCGTAAGATGCAGCCGGAGTTCAGCAGCAGAGCCTGCATGTGAGGATCAACGTGTTTAAGTGGACTCTGTTTAAACTTTCGGGATGTTTCACCTCAGACTCATCTCCTGTTAGCCAAGAATGCTAAAGGAAGTTAGCTTGTTAGCAGGAAGTAGCCGGAGCCGGAGCTCGGCCTCACAGTCGGAGCAGCTTCCATAGAGACCAAACTGTATTTTTCACGGAGCCCAAATGTCCAAATGTCCAGATAGAGCTGTCTGAATAGACTCTGTGCTGTTCCCTTTATCTGAACATGTTTAACATCTGAATTATCTCCCGGTGTCCTACGAAGCTAATGCAGTTAGCTTAGCTTGCTAGCTGGAAACAGTCTGGAGGAAAAGCTGCTGTGAATCAGTAAAAATGTCTAAAGTGGAGAACGAGGAGGAACTTTGTGGACAACGCAAACTACTGGACGCTGTTTTCAAGCCTGCAGCAGGTTTGTGCACTTTACTGCTTATTCTCACTGTAAACTGCTCACATCCTTTACTGCGCATCAAAACATGCGTCCTATCTTCTAAGGTCATTTACACGTCAACAATAACAACACAGCTCCCCATTTATAGTGACTAAAGGTTAAACCGTCTCATCACCCACTACCCACTTTTGATTTGGCACATTTTGATTGAGGTTTTAGTGAAACGACGACAAATTCTAGTAGCATCAATCAATACATGACCATCACTTCATAGATCTGAGGCAGAACATTCAAAACGATTATGAGAACTGAACCTCCACATAGATTCAACATTTTATAAAGAAAGGTATTATATCTATGTTCTTATAAAATCTTTTTTTCAACAAATATGCACGAGTAAATTTAAGTAAAATCTTTTTTCAGTCCTTTTTCCTCTACAAAATAAATCTCTTCAAAGTAAAATAATGTTATTCAAGTGAATTAATCAAACATTTATTATACATTTGTTATAAAGTTATTGAGGAAAAATCGAAATCGAAAAATAGATCGCAATAATTATCAATATTGTTTTATTGCCCACCCCTACCTGAAACCCGTGTGAACCCTCAAACGAAGTGAAAGCTTGTCCAGAAAACTGAGGTTCATTGTCCAACATTAGGACCTCCATGGCCGGCAAATATTGGCTTGAAATGGACGATGATGTCTGTGAACCTGCTGTGAGATAACGCTGCAATCTCTACATACCTGGAAAAATGGTAAATAATAAGTAGGTATGTTTTGCTTTTGAGGACAAACAGGTCCACCCGCAACGTTTGCCTTGGTCTGTCAGGGCATCCTGATGGCATCAATGGCTCCCTGTGGTTTTGCCGCTCTTGTATGCATGTTATGCAGTTGAAAACCATTTCGTTCACTTGCTGGCTGAGCCCAGGACACCAAACTGACTGGCGAGGGCGTTCCTTGCACTTCACCACAAATGAGTGTCCTTCATGTAGTTTGGCTAGCACATTCAGCACGGGTTCTTGTTTTTCTTGTCGGTAACTTATCAGTAGCTCAGCTAATGCATACAGGGCAGTGACAAATGTATCCACATTCATTTGCTTCTGTTAAATTGTGCACTACATTCTTTTTCTACAAGGAAGGAATAAAAGCTGTCTCTCACTTTGGGGTAACTTGTGCTTGTTTGCGTCGCTGAGCTTTAGGCCTCTCCGATCACCATTCGCATCGTCTCCCATACAATAGATTGAGGTAGTCACCTGGTTCTCCTTGGAGCTTGCTGTTAGGTTGCTTACGCTGCAGAGCTTCTTGAATCTCCTCGTGGCTTGGAAAGATCAAAAGGCTCCAGTGGTCGGATTCTAAACGAAACACAGGGTGTGTTACCCATTCTGCTGACTCCTTCCTCGTTTGTCTCCGCTGTTACTCATTTAACCTGCTCCCCGGTCTATGCTGAGACAAAGTGCGAACTGAACGTGAACTCTTTATTCACTCGCCGCCCAGGAACATTTCTCCTTCCAAACCCCAGCCCTCACACGTCCCATGATGCCTTTTGTATTAAAATCTGCTTCTGATCATCTAAGGTCAGGCATTTATGTCATCAACAACATTAACACCACATTTTCTATGAAGGGTTGAAGTAACGGGCATGAGGTAGAGTGGGTCGTCCACTAATCGGTGGTCATAATATTTTGGCTATGATTTATATACTGTTGTCGATTAGGCCCACATTGTGTTGTTATTGCACTGTATTTTGAGATTTGTGTGATAGATTAACTTTAGTGAAAAGTAATTTGTTGATATAAACTGTTACCAACCATAGTATCATTTATGAAAATTTTAATCTCTTCTTTGGAAATTAGAAATTGTAGATTGTGAAGTACTTTTTAAAATATGGGCTCAGTCAAAACAAAGAAAAGTCATGTATACTTCCATTATTCTAGGTACAACCTTATATACAGGGTTATTTTTGCCAGTTTGTCTTAATTAAAGAGATTTTAAGTGCAGGAACATTGTTGATATTTGAACTTAACTGCCAAAAAATACACCCCTCACTTCAGTGTTCCGTCAGAAGCTCTGTCCCCCAAATCCTTGGATTTAATGCCCCTGTGTGAGTAAGAAAATGATAATGTGCAAATGGAAACTACTTAAAAATTAATAAAATTGCACCTAATGTTTTAGTATTGTGATTATTTCTCTAGATATAGAGGTGGTTGCTGTTAACTACTTCAAGGACTATTGCGTGCAGTTTACTTTTATGTAGGGATGGGGATCGAGACCCAGTTCTATAAGGATGTGGTTAAAAATTTCTTAAAACCTGAAAATCAATAAGGTCTTAGCTTATCAAGACTGCTAGCAAGTCTAGCGGTTCCTATAATGTAATGTTGTGTCTCAAAAGACAAAGTCATGTCGTTTCAATCAAATCTGATTTAACTTGAAATGCGATGAATAAGGAAAATGTTATTGTATGTTATGTAGTGATGGGCACGATATGCAGTATTTATCAGGCTTAGCTTGGCAATTAGCAAATCAAGCAACATTGAAAGCTGTCTGTCTTTAGTCTTAGCTGTTCACCTTAGTTTGGGTTTACATGTGCATGTAGCATTAGCATGAAGTCACAGTTGCCTATATTGGTACTCTGACGAAACGCAAAGTGTAGTTTTGTTTGAGTTTGTGTATATATTGAAGTCATTCAATGTGCATAATTTCTCCACAGGCTTACGAAAAGCGGTGTTAGTGGTTTAAATGTTAACAGGAAGGTACAATGAAACATCTGTATGTATGTCATTATTCTCCACAGACGTCCCGGTGCTGCTGGTGAGTGAGGTTCCCACAGAGCAAAAGGAGCGGTGTCCCACTCTGGACCAAGTGGACCCACCAGAGCCCCCCCACATTAAAGAGGAGTGGAGCCCCAGTCTGGACCAGGAGGACCCACCAGAGCCCCCACATATTAAAGAGGAATGGTGCCCCAGGCTGGACCAGGAGGACCCACCAGAGCCCCCCCACATTAAAGAGGAGTGGTGCCCCAGTCTGGACCAGGAGGACCCACTAGAGCTCCCACACATTAAAGAGAAGGTCTGGACGAGTCAGGAAGGAGAGCAGCTTCGAGGGCTGGAGGAAGCTGATATCACCAAGTTCACATTCACTCTTGTCCCTGTGAAGAGTGAAGAAGATGAGAAACCTCAGTCCTCACAGCTTCATAAAAGACTCACTGAAGCTAATGGAGAAGACTGTGAAGGCCCAGAACCAGTCAGGAAGTCAGATCCAGATAGACATTTACAACAAGATACTGACAAGATTTCCTCTGAGACAGATGACAGTTGTGATTGGGAGATGTCTGCTTTAAACTCTCTGCAAAACAATGAAGTACCTGTAAGTGATGTGGAATGTAATACTGGAAAAACATCAAGTAGCTCTTCTGAAAGTGTTACAAGCCTTGACCAAGAGGGACATCTGCAGGAAGACAATGGAAACCAACCAGAGAAACTATCTAGTTGCTCAGTTTGTAAAAAAACTTTTCAATGCAGAAAAAATGTTGCGAGGCACATGAAAATCCACACAGGGGAGAAACCTTTCAGTTGCGCTGTCTGTCATAAAGAATTTGGCCAAAAGGAACATCTGAGACAACACATGACAATCCACACAGGAGAGAAACCCTTCAGTTGTTCTGTGTGTGGTAAACAATTTGCGTTTAAGACACATCTGAGACGACACTCAATTGTCCACACGGGGGAGAAACCCTTCAGTTGTTCTGTCTGCAGTAAAGGATTTGCACGAAGCTCAGCTTTGACCTCACACTTAAGAGTTCATACAGGAGAAAAACCTTTCACATGCTCAGTTTGTAAAGTAAGTTTTGGTCTCAGAAGCAATTTGATCACGCACATGAGAATGCATACTGGGAAGAAACCTTTTAGCTGTTCAGTTTGTGGAAAAGGATTCGCACAACATGGAAATTTGACACGACACTTGACTATCCACACAGGGGAGAAGCCATTTAGATGTTCAGTTTGTGATAAAGAATTTGGAGGAAGGGAAAATCTGAGACAGCACTTGAGTGTTCACACAGGGTCGAAACCATTTAGTTGTTCAGTTTGCGGTAAAAGATTTGGAGATGGGAGAACTCTGAGGCGACACTTGACTGTCCACACAGGGTCGAAACCATTTAGTTGTTCAGTTTGTGGTAAAAGATTCACACAACATGGAAATCTGAGACGACACTTGAATGTCCACACAGGAGAGAAATCATATATTTGCTCAGTTTGTGGTAAAGCATTTGCACGAAAGGGACATCTGACAGAGCACTTGACTGTCCACACAGGGGAGAAACCATTTAGTTGTTCAGTTTGTGGTAAAGAATTTGGAGGACGGCTAAATCTGAGACGACACTTGACTGTCCACATGGATGAAAAACCGTTCAGTTGTAAAGTTTGCGGTAAAAGATTTGGAGAGGGCAGAACTCTGAGACGACATTTGACTGTCCACACAACGGAGAAACAATTTAATTGTTCAGTTTGTGGTAAAACATTTGCACATCATGGAAATCTGAGGCGACACTTGACTGTCCACACAGGGGAGAAACGATTTAACTGCAGTGTTTGTGATAAAAGCTTCACTCGGCTTCATATTTTCAAAAATCACAAGTGTGCTGGTGACAGCAGAGGAAGTAAATGCTCTGCCGATTCCTTCCAGCAGAATTGAAGTATCGAGGGCAAGACTTGGCTCATCTCTGATCAGTTCCCTATGATACTGACTCCAAATAAGTCACATGCATACCAGCAGAACAAGTCTCTGAATAACTAAAATGCTAACGCTAGTGAGCTAGCGCTTTAGTATAAAGTTTCACAAAAAGCAACAGAAAAAAGTTATCGCACCTAACCTACTTCTTTCATTGTTTAATTGGCTTCAAAGGGGGCTTAACGTTCACACAGTTTCACTTCACTGTCCCTCAGTACTTCAACATTAGTCCAACATCGCCCGGAGTACCACCCTAGCATATAGCGGTTATTTTGTGGCCGAAACATACTCACTCCTGGTTGTTTTTCTCCATCTGTCTTTTTTATTTTCAGGATTGTGAAGTCCAGCAAATCTCTGTCCAAGTGAGGAGTAAACTATATGTATAACTTAGTAACGCACACACGAGCTAATGTAGCCCCAGCTTCTCTCCGCTGCACTTTTGAAGACCGCAACAACCCGGGGATCTCATCTTTCTCGGTCAAAATAGCAGAATGAGGAATTTATTGCTTTAGTCAGCTGCATCTACCTTCAACACTGACTGGACATCCACATTAAAGGTGCTGAAGTTTCCCTTTAAAGCAGAGGTTACGATTTCTCCAACTTTTTTCCGTTCAGTACTCAGATGCCATATGTATTTTATATGTATCTATTTCGGCTGAATTGAAGGTTGTGATGACGCTTTGTTTCTTTACCACAGGACAAACGCAGCAATGCTGATGATTTTGGCCCGTCACTACCGTTAACAAGCCGAATTGTCATGGAAACAATTATTGCACTTAACCCTAACCCCACAGCTCCACTCATTGTGGTGCGTTTCATCGACATCCCATAATCCAACAGAAGCAAACACAGGTCATTCAAATAGCCGGCTTCTTAGGAGGAGTATGTGCAATTGATGGCGCTCATATAAAGATAAACTATTTTATCTTTCATTTCCAATGTGTATATCATAATGTATTCTCTTGAAAATTCTTTGTCAAATGTTTGTTGAATGTAAACTCCTCTTGAACATTCAATGTGAATTTATCTGAGAATGAAGGAAATCTCTTCAGTGATTGGTCCTTGGCGACATCGTCATCCAAAATCCTGTTTGTGTCACAGCAAAGTGTCGTGAATCAGCACAAAGACTGACACTTAAGATTTAGTCCTACACTTCACTCAGATTAGGACTGAGATGCTTGATAACGTATAAGCTCAGATTTGAGCCAAGATTTATTTTTAGTCTTTAGTCAGTTCTTTGCTGAGTTCTTATGAGTTCTTCTTTCTACTAGCTCATTCAAGTCTGTAAAGTTTTGATTTCATCAAATCTTCCAGTGAAAAAATAATATTTTGACTTGTTTTAGTTTTCTTCTAAAATCAAGTGTTTTGACTTTGATTTTCTTTTAATTTATGATGTGAATCCATGGTAAACTTTTGGAAAAGTTACCATTAACATGTGTAATGCTTTAATAAGTTTGTTGATCATTTGGAAAGCCAAATAGTTATGAATAAGTAATTTATAGATCATCTGTAACATGAATAGTAAATGATCCAACTGTAAATCATCATTATGAAGAAGGTAGAGTAAAATATTTGTAAATGTACTGCAACCTAAAACAAGCAGTTTCTGGCTGTTTCATGTGTTTTTAATGATGAGAAAATGTAGTGTAGTCCTCATGTTCATAACTTCATCTAATGGTGTCTCTTTGTGTTCGTCACTCAACCTCATTTTAAGATCAACACTGCCATGGCCGCACAGATGGGTGCAAGTGGGGCTGGACAATTCTGGGGGACCTCTCAGTCTTAACAGTCAACATGAGGGCCAATGTTTACTTTATCAGACCAACCCTATTGCAGCTAATAAATGTACAGCTTTTGCTGGAAAAGGGAAGAGCTCCTATTTGTCTTTGTGGAGAGCTTTAATCATCAGAAAATATTATGTTTAATCTTCAATACTTGCTGAAGAGGCTTCGTAACGTTTTTACAAAATAGAAGTTAATTGTTGTCTCGGGCTGTTCGTTGTTTACTGGCACTGGTAGGATTTTAAGGTTTTGTATAGTTCTGAAAACCACAAAAAGACTGAATGCAAGGCACGGTAAGTTAGGCAAGAGAAAAATAAAGTGTATACTGCATGCTTGTCCTGCCTAAATCTTGCACAAAGCTTCCTCTCTCTCTCTCTCTCTCTTTGCCCATCGTGGACATTAGGGCGAGGACAGGGGGGATCTGGTGTTTTGAAACTTTAATCATTTCACATCAAAGTATGTTATAACTTAAGTGAAATGCTGTATTCCTGAGTTTAAAGAATACTGAACTTCTCTGCTTCCCATGTGATGTTACAAAGCTTTCTTTATCAATTCTGACAGGAAGGTGTAATAAACATAAATATATGTAAACTGCACAACTTCAAGTAGTAATTCATGATGGAGTTGAGTAACAGCTCGATGAGGAGGAGGTGCTGCTGAGAATGACACTCTGTTATAACAGTGCGTGTCAGCGTTTACTGATACCAGATGCAACTCCCAAGAGTGTTTTTTTAAAGGGAAACTCACAATGGAAAATACACATATAACCCATAAAGAAACCAGCTAGAACTTGCCATTACCTGTGACAAACATATTATTTTATAGTGGGACAACCAACTTCAACTTGTCAACTCACCAAGTTGCTGCTATTAACCTGCATTAAAATGTATAAGAGCTACCAGGGAGGGTGACCATGTCTGTCTTAACAATGTGGTAAAAACAGAAACAGAGTGCACACTGCCCGATCAGCAGAAAAGGACTAGATGTGACTGTTTGATCTGTAAACTGTGTACCGTGATGATGAACTGGCGATGATCTTTACCTAATGGGGAAGGAAAACGTGTCTTAAGGCAGACAAAAAACCCAAAATACATGTACAACGAGAAGCTGGGGAGTCCTAGGTAAATGTCAGGGTGGAACAGTTCCAGAAACTTCAGGACTTAATAACAGACAGTTCAGTAACAATGCAGGGTTTAGGAAGAAAAGGATTTATTTATAGTCTGACTGTTCAACCAACATAACCTGCTGTTGTCATTAGATGAAAGTATCTTTCTTTTATTAGAAATGTATCAGACAATTATTCAGCAAGATAGAAGTGGTTGTTAAAGTTGACTGTATTCACCTGATATCAGAATCTGCTGTTTTAGCCAAGTATGTGAACACATGTTTCTTACACAGGAGAAGCAGAACAAATTCAGGTGTTACAGCAGCACAAAGACAGAAATAAGTACAGATAAATAGAGAAACTAACAAAACAAATAATCAACTCTGGGCGTCCGTGCCTGAGGATCTGAGGCTGCAGAATCTGTGACATCTTTTAAATCACTTCTCAAGTATTTTATTTATGCTACGAACACTCTGTATTGTACTTGACGTGATATTTCTATTTACTTAAATAAAGGATCTGCGTTTTTCTACCATTGTTACCACAAAGAAATACGGCCCTGTAGATAAAGTGTGGTCACTTTTATTTTGAAAATCAGCAAAGCAGTAGAACCGGAATCAAGTGTACTTCCGGTGGCTAACATGCTAACTTTCCCTTCACGTTACCGTGAGATGCAGCCGGAGTTCAGCAGCAGAGCCTGCATGTGAGGATCAACGTGTTTAAGTGGACTCTGTTTAAACTTTCGGGATGTTTCACCTCAGACTCATCTCCTGTTAGCCAAGAATGCTAAAGGAAGTTAGCTTGTTAGCAGGAAGTAGCCGGAGCCGGAGCTCGGCCTCACAGTCGGAGCAGCTTCCATAGAGACCAAACTGTATTTTTCACGGAGCCCAAATGTCCAAATGTCCAGATAGAGCTGTCTGAATAGACTCTGTGCTGTTCCCTTTATCTGAACATGTTTAACATCTGAATTATCTCCCGCTGTCCTACGAAGCTAATGCAGTTAGCTTAGCTTGCTAGCTGGAAACAGTCTGGAGGAAAAGCTGCTGTGAATCAGTAAAAATGTCTAAAGTGGAGAACGAGGAGGAACTTTGTGGACAACGCAAACTACTGGACGCTGTTTTCAAGCCTGAAGCAGGTTTGTGCACTTTACTGCTTATTCTCACTGTAAACTGCCTTTACTGCAGTAAAAGTACTAATACCACTCTGTGAAAATACTCCACTGCGAGTAAAAGTCCTGCATTCAAACCTTCCTTCAGTAAAAGTATGTGAGTATTATCAGCAACATGTACTTACAGTATGTAAAATGTTCCTGTCTGCTCTTATAATATTATTACTTTACAATTGCAACACCAATAAATGAAAAACTATAATTATTTTGGCCTGAAAATAATCCTCTCAAGCTATGAAAAGTAATTTAATAGGTTGTTTGGACTAGAGATGCAACGATTACAGATTTTGTTGGTACGATTATTGTCAGAGGAATAATCACGGTTTCACAATTACTATGCATGAACACTAATAATGACTTAAGTTGTTTTTAATATTTATTGACATTAACTACTATACGTCTATAAAATGGCGAGTGTTGAGGTCTGGGGTTCAGGCTGGCGGGCGGGCGAGACTGGCAGAGATGGGCTGGGGTCCCAGTCTTGGGAGTCCCTGGGCTCCTGGCTGGCTGGTGGCGGCTCGGGTCTGAAGGATCGTTTCGGGGGCAGAGAGAAAAGCGAGTTAGCTCAGTAAGCAGAAGTGAGCAAAACATACAAATATGACGTAACGATCCGGAGAGGACTGGATCTCTGGCTTCGCCTTAAGGAGTGGCTTGACTACTGATCAGCAGCAGGTGAGCGTTGGTGTCTCATCCAGAGACCGGTCACTTCCCCCCAGGCAATTGCACGGGAGAGTGAACGAGAACAGGGGAAGGAAAAAGACTAAATACAACAATACTTTATCCACGTCAAAGTAACTCTAAAGCACATTCATACTCAAACCAGATGTCACATTAGGTGTCACGGCACGGGGGTCGGTACGGTATCCCATAGTTCAACAAATTTTCTAAGTTGAACCACAGACAAAACCCTGTCACTCACTTCAGCACTGACGGCTCCCCTGAAACTTTACCTGCTACAAGTCTGAAGCCCCTTTTCCACTGCACAGTACCAGCTCAACTCAACTTGCCTTTTTTTGATTTTCCATTGTGGATAAGTTGTACCTGCTACTAGGGGTGCAGCGATTACCGGATTTCATTATTAACCGCGCTTTAAAAGCCACCAAGCAATGTGCACTGCACGGCGAGCTCGCGTGCACCACGCAATCAAAGCAGTAGAACTTTAGTGTGGAGCAGCAAATTGCTTCTTTTCTTAAAGGGCCTTTATGGAAGAACGTAGTCCTCTCAAGACCTTCAGTCACTGAACATTTAACGTTACATCATGTCTTCTCCTGTCTGTGGTGAGAAAATGTTGCCAGGTGTAAAACACTAACAGAACATCAGGAGCTTATAGACTTTCAGGACTACAGGCTACCAGTTAACTGCATTTCAGTTAACACTGCACTCAATTTCTTTCTCTCATTTTCACTAAAACATGTATGGATGAGAATTGATGACAGTAACAGCTCAGTTTATTCCCCTCCTTTATAACAATTTCCCCATGTGGATAAAAGTTAATGTTCCTCTTATATTAATAATACTTACGTATTATAGAAATATAATTGTTAATGTAATTAAATATTAAAAATCAACATAAGTCATTATTAGTGTTTTGATATTAATTAATGCATAATAATCCTGAAAATAATAATAGTAGTACCAACAAAATCTGTAATCGCTGCATCCCTACCTGCTACCAGGTACTTTTTTTTGTATCCTTCCGTCGAGGTTCCAAGCGAGCTGAGGCGATACTAAAGGGGTGGTGATGGGGCAGTGGATAAGATGCATGCCTTTGACCCGGGTTCAACTCCCCACTGTGACACGTCCACCAATGTGTCCCTGAGCAAGACACTTAACCCTTAGTTACTCCAGAGGCGTGAATATATAGCAGTTATGAGTCGCTTACATTTAAATGTAAAATGTGACGTGAAAACACAGCAGACTGCAGATTACAACAATACCACACATTTTAGTCACTATTATCTCGATTTGAAGTTCCATACTGTTTCCTCTTCGCCCCACACACAAGTTCTCAGGAAAGAATGTACATGATTGACAGCATCAAAACTGGAGTATATGCAGCTGGAATTGGGGCGATTTGTTAACATAATCAAAGTTGATTGCGAAAATTGAATTGATAACGTTATGTAGCCGGAACGAAAAGGTGGAGCTCGGAAATGCGGAAGTGCAGCTCCGGACCGTCTGTGGTTCTTCCTGTTTGGCACAGGCAGCTGCTGATTGAGTGACAGCCGCAATTAAACTTTACACATGATCAATAAAATCAATGCGCAACTCACGTTAATGATTTTAACCAGCGCACGGTGTGGCACGGTAGCGCATAGTTAGCGTCCTCTCTTTATTCTCCAAAGGACAGACAGGCGGCAGTAGGTGACGGTGAAAGCAGCGGAGTAGAGGAAAACGTGAACGCTACATTCAGTCTGGCAGTAAATGTACAGTATTGGTCACAGCGTGTCTGTTAATTAAAGTCTGTCTATTGTTTTCCAACTGCTGGATAAGTTAAGGCAGCTAGTGTTAACTAACATATCTTCAGACTGCCGTCTGGAAGCTGAGCAGGAAGCTTTTCGGCTGCTAGTTCAATTTCATTTGTTGTCATTCATCCACATATCGGGTACACAGTGAACCAAAAACAGTTTCTCAAGGCCCATGGTGCTCAACACAAGATTACAATAATCAACTGACAAGACTAGAAACAAACATATAACTACGCTAGATGAGATTAAAAAAAAAAGGATCAGCTATATCAGGGTGGAGTGAACGTGGTTTGGCCTGAGCGTTGTAAAGTGCGTAGTTCAACCCCCATCTGACTCTTTACTAATAAC